TCGCATCTCCGGCCGATTGAATGTGATGCGCGGCTAGCAGTTCGAGCCAATCACTGCACGGATTCAACGAGCCGCAGGGCGAGCATCAGCTCCGCAATGTCGTTAACTCACTCTCCTATCTTCGCCCGATTCAACTCGCAGCAGGGCTATCGGCTCCACCCAGCTGTTGAGCGGATTCAGCGACCCGCAGGGGCGAGCATCAGTGGAAATCGTGCTTAACTCGCCCTTCCATACCCGGCCGATTTCAGGCACGGCTAGCAGCTCGACAAGGTGAAATGGACGGATACAGCGAAACGCAAGGCGGCATCCGCTGGCAATCGTTTAAACTTACTCTCCCATCCCCCCTCCGCTGCAAAGCACAGCTCGGCTACCCAGCTTTGGGATGGAATCCGCATGGTGACATACAGAACGGTATCAATCCACGAAACAATAGACCAGCACTGAAGTATGCACCTGGTGGAGTGTTGAGGCCCATGCATACATAAGTAAGCGAATGAATGAATGCATGAATGAATGAATATGTATATTATATGCCTGTGTTTACGTACCTGCATGCATCATGGTAAACCCATACACAGATACATACCCTAAGCCCTAAACCCTAGAGTCGCTGGAGGAAGGTTCCTCAGCCCAGGACCATGCCCCCGACTTCCGCCATCTCTGGAAAGTGCAGATAGTCCATGATGCCCTGCTGTTTGGGGGTGTAGCGCCCTAGGGATTTCGGGTTCAGCTTACGTCTGCTATGTTCTTGAACGGGCTTCAGTTTTACTTTCGAAGGCCATTTGCGGGTCTTGTTGTGGGGCTTCGGCTCCTGATTTGAGATTTGCAAAGGTTTTCGCCCTTCCTTCGAGGGGTTCGAGAGAAGCAGTCATAAAGCATGGAAGCGGGAGCTTCGGGGAGGTAGCGCCCGCAAACTAGATCCTGAAGTGGGATGCAGGCGTGTCGTTACAGTAATCAACAGGCACCCCAAAGCCCAAACATACATCAGAATGAAAGCCACCCAAGCATCAGCCTTGGCGTACTTGGCAGATTCGCTGATATGGTGTCGTTTTTCAGGTTCCCAAGGCCCCAAAAACTCACCAAGCCTTGAATCCTGACGGCCGTCACTGGGTCACTGGGTTCTATGATCCCTGAAGCCCTGAGTCCTCTGGGTAGAGGGGGGCATCCGGATCTCCGCCCCAAGCATGCAGCAGGTCGTCGGTCAGGTTTCCTCGCTCCTCCACTGCGCTTCTGCGGGGCCCCTACTTGGAAGACCAAACCGTGACTTGGTTTAAATTGGGGCTCTTAGTCGGATAAGGGACTCCGGTGACCCAAAGTTTCGACAGCTTCAGGGTCTTTATGAGCTCTGTCGCTGTGTGTCTAAGTAGGCTGAAGCTCTTCCTGCGAGAACTTTACGGAAGCGTTTTGCCAGCTCTCGCGGCTGAATGCAACCTTAGAAGCTGCCAGGGGATCTTCCAGGCTTTACCGTTCCAAAATCTACTCTAAGAGCAGGAGCCGTGACAACCAAACATGAATTTCGAGTAGACCGGCCCATCTAAGGCAACCTCTGTTGAGCCGACTTCAAATACAAACCTTACAGGGAACCCTACTGTAGAATGACCCGCGTGTTTACTGCTGAACACCTCCCTCGCTGGGGCCGGGTCACCTCGACGGGAAGGCTACGAACCAGGTCTCCTGCATGAGGTGCTTCGGAGGCCATTGCCATCATTGCCGTCATGAACTCCTAAAGCAAATAAACCACTCAATTCCTTGCGCTGCAAAGCCACTCTGCCGAAGCCTACAAAGTTCGCTGTCTGTTCGCGGAGCATCCTTGACCATGAGACCATGTGACCCTTTAGGCGTTGTCACTATAGTGTCCTAAACCACACCTTGGAAGCCCCAAACCGAAACCCCTGTTCATTAATCCTCAAACCCAAAGCACCAACAAGCCCCCACCTCTCCCCATTCGACAAACTCGCCACACGCTTAACCCCCAAATCCGGTCTAAGGCAAGGCGCCGAAGTGCGTTCGGAGCAACCATGGGGACTGGCATCGCTTTGGGAAGCCTCAGCTGACCGAAGAGGCCCAAGCGTCACCTTACATGATGAGTTATGCCACGCCCTATGATCCCTGAATACATCGCAGCACAATCTACTCCCAATGCCCATTCTAAGTCTTTAGACCTTATATTCTGTAGCTACAATGACTCTTCGACAACTGGCAGGCCACCACAGGAACCGCAGCTGGCAGCTTGTCGCAGGACCATCGAGCCCAGATGCAGCAAGCCCTCCTGACATCTATTTTATTACTATGATTGTTATTATTATCAGTACCATTATTATTATCACTATTACTATTGAACTATCTTTGTGCCTTGAGCTTGTCTTGGGCCCTTTCTCCTGCAGGCTCAACCCACCAAGGATCTACGGTCAACAGTTGCTTCATCTCAAAAAGTGTGAGTCCAATGTGCCTCTGGGAAGTATGGTTCTGCGCGTGAAAGTCTGGTGGTTAAGGTTTCGGGTTCTTTTAAAATGCAGTGCGCACTGTTGCAGCCGCTTGAAGGTTTAGGGTTTAGGGTTGCCGAGCAAGCCGTGGCCTTCTAAACTCATGAGCCTGGTAGGTTAAACCCTGGAGTCCAATTCATCCAGACTTTTACAACCCGATCTCAGAAGGTCCAAGCTCAGACCAATGAATAATACGTAGTAGCAGTAATAACATTCATCATCATCATCATCATCTTCATCATAACAACAATAACAAGACTGATGAATGATGATGATATTACCAATAATAGAGGTCGAACTCACCATCAAACTCGATGATGTCGTAGTAGTTGGGGTTTTCGGGTCTGGGGAAACCCTGAACCCTAAAAAGCCTTAAGCTTAGGGTCTGTGGGCTTAGCTTCTAGGGGTTCTCTGTTTAGAGAAGAGCGCACCCCGACACCCTAAAACTGTTTAGGGGATCGGGGTTCGCTCCCCCCCTTCCCTGAAGATCAACGGCCTGAGACTGCATGGCCTTGCGATATCTTTCGGGCTACTTCCGCGACTACAGCGGTGGATTATGGCCGGTGCACAGTGAGTTTGGGGATCTGCGTCCAGGAGCCGCGAAGCCTCGACTTGCAGACAAGGCGCATAGCTGTCGCTGCACTGGAGGCTCCTTCACAAACTCTACAACGAGAGGGACTGGTGGGGAGGAGAATCAAGGGCCTATACACATGCAACAAAGCGTCCCTCTAAACTTCTTCCAGCCCATCAGACTCCCATATCACCTCGGCTAAATCCCGAAACTTGGAAAAACCCAGCATCACTCTTTGCCAAGAGATCCTTGGAGCCTATGGGCCTGGCATGCTTCCTAGCGGGTTGGGCGTTTGTAGGCCGAGCCTCAGGTTCTTCGGGCCCCGTGCCTCTTTGGTATCTCACCTCTGCTTAGGTGGGGCCGGGCACCACATACTAGGGTAAATGCACTAGGCACTTTACACAATGGTATTTGCATCATTGGCACGCTGTGCCGCTGCATGGACCATAATGTCAGTTCACGCCACTGTGCCGTAATGTACCTCGAGGAATGCAATCTGTGGTCAACCTAGCGACAGCCCAAGCAAAACCCGCAAACACCGAAACACAGAATTTTCTCAACACTTCTACTGGCCCTCAAGGGCGGAATCCGCGAATGCCGAAGACTGCACAGATGAGCCTGCAAAGCTTGTGGACGTGCGCGCGGGCAGCATGAGGCATAGCGTTGCTGAGCAGTGGCTTCATCCGCGCCAGAGAAACGCCCACCGTGAACCTCAGCTTCTGAAAATAATCAGCTGAGCCTCATGGAGTTACCAGCTGATTTGTATAGGACCATACTATACTATACTGTGCTACACGATACTAGACTATACTATATTATACTATGCCATACTATACCTTATTTGCCTTCACCTAACGGTATAGCGTATCAAATTCGGAATGAGGCTCCAAGGCTCTTGAGGAAGAAGAAAACTCCGAGCTCCAAAGTCGGTCAAATGGTGGTTAGTATAGTTAGTATAGTATACCAAAACTATATAAGTACTACTCTACTCAACTATACTATACTAGGAATGGGCAGTGATGTTTTGAGTATATTTATCTAGCTGTACATGCGTGCAGACAGGAATGTTCCGTATTCGCTGGATCTATCATTCACTCATTTGTCTGTGTCTCCCCTTTGTGCTTATGAGACTTTTGTATGTGTATTTACATGTGAAACCGAAGGACAGCATACCACGCAGTCTTCTGCTTCCTTGGGGTGCAGTGGGCTCAGGGCTTCAACCCCTCTCTGTTCAGAAGACGCTCTCAGAAGCCGAGGTCGCGGCTGAAAAGAAGTCTTGTGAACTGCATGTGGCACCTGAGAGCTTTGCAATGATAGTAACAACATCGGCTGCGAGGCCAAAGCCACAGCCCTGATGCAGCAGAACACTTGTCGTCTAAACAATTTTCTCGAACGAGCAACAAGACATAATAGCAGTCGTAGAAGTAGTGGCAGCAGTAGTAGTAGTAGTAGTAGTAGTAGGAGTAGCAGTAGTAGTAGTAGGAGTAGCAGTAGCAGTAGTAGTAGCAATAGTAGTAGCAGTAGCAGTAGCAGTAGAAGTAGAAGTAGCAGTAGCAGTAGCAGTAGCAGCAGTAGTAGTAGTAGTAGTAGTAGGAGCAGGAGCAGGAGTAGGAGTAGCAGTAGCAGTAGCAGTAATATTAACAGTAACAGTAGCAGTAGTAGTAGTGGTGGTAGTACTAGTAGTAGTAGTAGTAGTAGTAGTAGGAGTAGTAGTAGTAGCAGTAGTAGTATCAGCAGTAGTAGTAGTAGTAGTAGTAGCAGCAGCAGTAGCACCAGTAGTGTTCGCAGCAGCAGCAGGAGGAGGAGGAGGAGTAGTAGTAGTAGTAGTAGTGGTGAGAGGAGGATGAGGAGGGGCGGAGCAGGAGCTCGCAGGAGCAGCAACATCAGCGAGCAACAGCAGCGGCAGCAGCACAGGTACGGGCAAATATCCCGAGAAGCAGTCGCAGCATCGACTTTTGTCAAATCACCACCACCGCCACCAACACCATGACCATCAGCCCTAGGTGCTGTGAAATTTTGAATCTACTTATCTTGTTATTCGCCTTCGACCGTGCACGCGCACATGAGCCTCGCACATACCTACAAGGAAACCTGAGATTTTGATCGAAGAGTTGGTGTGCCTGAGTTGTTCTACAGTTTACAGGGGCTGAGAACGGATTGCTCTTATTCCAGCCACTAATAATAGTCAGGCGGCATGAAGCTTGTCGAAGTAGTTCACCAAGTCTTTTGCGAAGCTCGAATGGAGCACAGTCTGTGATCGAACAACTACCTTGGTCATCGCCAAAAAGCTCCAGAAGCGTCCTACCAAAACAGCCGCGAATCCATCTTAAAATCCCCAAACCACAACCCTTCAGCCCCAAGGCCCCAACCTCCACCTACACACCAAGAAAAACGAGCCACCCTAAATTCAAAACCCTACAAACCCTAAACTCTGGACGTAACCTAGGCCCTGCGAAGACAAAGCGCTATCAACCCTATGCTAGAAGCCCTAAACACATGGCTGACAGCAAAGGCTCACTGTTGGCCTCCGGTAGGGCCTGAGTCACCTGGTGATGCTTGCTTCCCAGGCCTCGGACACAACTAGTGCCCTGGGCATGGGCCTGACGAGATTTAGGGTGTAGGATGGCTGTTTAGGAGGTGTATGCGGAGTCTATGCCCCCCTTTAACTCCTGCTGCAACGCTTCAGCAGGAGGGTCTAGGGTTCAGGGCCTAGGGTTCGGGATGCAGGGGTGATTTGGGGCTTTATGGTTTGATGTATTGGCGGCATGTAACGCTTTGTGGCCTAACCCTAACCTCCAGACTCAAGTCTCTCTAAGCCAGGAAAACCTAAACCGTTCAACCCTCAAGCGCTGAGGCAGGGGCCATCTACTTCAATGTACCAGAAGGGGGAGCCGCTGGTGAAGGTGGCGCCGAGCCCCCCGGCCTTCGTTTGGGCTTCAGCTTGGGTCGTTGCAGCTTTTTCTGCTTTGCAAAGGGAGCAGCGATGTGCAGATGAACATGTCGACGGCTACACACTTTCGTGTGTACCGAGAAACAATATTCAGAGACGAAGTATATGTATATGCATTGCACTTACTGTACGTGTATGCATGCATGCATAAAGGCCTGCATGGATGTATGTATATGGCGTAGAATGTCTGGCGGCCCTGATGTGTATGTATATGTGCGTGCAGCCAAGTATGTAAACGCTGTGCATGTACCTATGTGATATATGTCTACGTGTATCATCTTGGCTTTGTGTTAGACATTTCTGACCACACACGGTCTTATGCTAGAAAGTGTCTTCTGTCTTAGACAGGGTTTGCTGTCTGACAAGGGTGTATGCGTCCTGCTGTTGAACCGACTTGGCTTTGCTTGGCTCGTAATTTCTTCATGTTCCGAGAACATCAAAATCCCGAAACTTCGAAACAGGCCGTAGCGGACTAGAGCGACACTCACACCTACATATATATATATATAATACACACATGCGCACACACACAGAGAC